GTGTCTTCTTTTCTTCACTCCTCCCTCTCTACTTCTCCCTGCCATTTTTTTAAATACAGGCTTTCATTATGTAGTATTGGATGGCTAGAAATCGTTATGCAGACCAGGCTGGCGTCAAACTCACAGTGATGCACCTGCTTCTGACTACTGCGTGCTAGGTGTGCACTGCTACACCTGAAGTGGCTGTCTCCTCCTCCTCCCCCTTCCTCCTCCTCCTCCCCCTCTTCCTCCTCCTCCTCCTCGACAGGGTCTTACTATGTTGCCCAAACTAGCCTGAAACTCACCATGTAACCCCATCTGAGGTTAAACTCTTGATCTTCCTGTTTGAACCTCCCGAATGCTAGGTGAAAATAAAGGCATGTGCCACCAGACCCATTTCTTTCTTTATTTCTCTTTTCTTTTCTCTTTAGTATTATTTGGAAAAAGACATTGTAGTGACAAAATACACAATATATTTTCAAATCTCCATGGACCTAGTGATTAAATTCTTTGAGTCAAACTGATTGAGATTTAAATGTTGAATTTTAAATGTAAGACATTTAGAGGACTAAGCAGAAAATAATAATACATTCCCAAAATGTTGCTAAGAAACTGAAGTAAGAAAAAGCATTAAAATGCTCCATTTTTTATTTACTCTTAAAATGTAGATTTTCAGTACTTTTTCACTAGTATTAAATTCCATTGTAGTTATTTGTGAGAGGCTATTATTAACTATTTTGTAAGCACTATAGTTAATTAAAAATCTTTTTTGTTGTTGTTGTTTTTGGTCCTAGAGCATGAACCTAGGGCCTCATATATGCTTGGTAAGTGCTCGACTCCTGAGGTACATTTCCAACTGTGAAATACTATTTTTAATTTACCAGATAATAAAAAGACAGCCCATGACCTAACTCAATCAGATCAACAATTTGCTATTCTAAGCATGAAAAGTAAACTATGATTTAAACAGAATAATACATTAGGCTTTATACAGTCCCTCAATTTCTTAGGAAAACAGATCTCTGGAGAGTAGTACAATGTATTTGTTTCTGTCCTGTGACTCTCTTAATAGACCACTGAGTGATTTTTTTTCATCCTGTTGGTGACATTGACCCCAAGTCAGCAGAAAGTGATAGGAAGCCCCACAAGGCTAGAAGTTGCATCCTTCCTCAGCCTACTGTGCGTGCTATGGAGTAGAATGATGCTCAGCTAGTGTCTGCTAGATGAGTAAATAGGGAAGTGCTGATCAAATTCAACTGGATGGTAGTTTTGACTTTAGAAATATTTCTAAAGTTCTGCCTGCTTTTATTTAGGATGATCAAGTGATTTCCTGGAATCCTCTGCATAATGTGTGCTAGCCAAGGGATGTGTGTGCTATGGCTAGAATTGGTAAACGTAGGTGCTGAACTTGGTTCATGCCAATTTTCAGGTCCTCACAAGTCCACAGGGTTTCTGGCTGCTTTGAACCAGCTGTGTGCTACCATTACACCTCCTGTTTACTTACATCATTTTAGAAGTTAATAAAAAAACTAAACATACTTTCCAGTGTTATATCGGAATGCCAGACTTGAAGCCAGACGACATGGCTGAGGTCAAGGTTTACCACTTACCAGTGATCCGTGTGAACCTGAACAAAGAACGAATCTTTCTTGTCCTTTACTGATATTCTGAAGACTGATGTGAGAGATGAACTATGAAGTAGCCTACGAATGTAGATCTTTTTTGTCACTTTTTCTTAGCCAGTGTCTGCATGAGAATGAGCAGTAGCAAGAGATTATGGGAACAGACACTGAGCGTGTACTCTGTTACTGGATCTAGTCCCATCAGGGTAGTGCTTGGCCACATAATCCTTCAAAGTAGTTGGCTGTGTCAGAGTGAGGACATTTCTAGTGAAAATATTTAGAGACAATTAAATCAATTTTAGGGGCCCACATGAATCAATTCAGTAGGCCTACATAAGGCATTTATTATTTCCCCATTTAGCTCCCTTTCTTTCCTTTTTCTACTGCAGTGGTGGGGTTAAGCAGGGTGTCACACACACTAGACGAGGCTTTCACCACTGGCTTACAGGTATCTCAGCATTCAATGCACACCCATTTCTACGCTCTTGTGATTAGTCTCTATCTTTGGGGCTAAAAACTATCTTGTGGCAATTTGTACTGGTTAAGAGAGCCAGAATAATCAGATTAGCCATTCCTGGGACTGTGTTATTTTGAGTCCATTTAAATAGTCTTTCTCATTGATATTTATTCCTGGTCACTGAGCTAGCTAACAGTGAATGAATTCTTCAGCAACAGGAACTTCAAGATACCCATTCAGACAGTCCTTCCTAAACTTGGTCTGTGTTTTTCAGAGGATACAAAAGAGGTATTTGAAATCGTAAGAGTATCAGTTTTACTGGTTGGTGAGTAACATAAAACACCATTTAAAAATATTGAAACATATATCATGGAGTAAAACGAAGCATTAACATGAAATTTTAATGTAAAACATAGACTTCAAAATGGCTCTGAACTTCATATGAGTATTTCCAGGTCTTTCCAGGCATACAAGTTCATCCTCTGGATTAGGTGCCATTGCTGAAAGGTTTAGGAAGTGCTGCACAGGTGCATTCTGGGAGCCTTTGGTCCCTGAGCTGCCTCCTTGTGAAATACCAAAGTCAAAGATTTTTTAGAGAAAAAGCGTCTTTTTTTTCCCCTTAGCTGAAGACTTTTGGTCCAGAAGAATTAAGAAGAATCAAAGGATGAGTTTTCCAGGAATGTGTTTGAAAATTCTTTAAAACTTACAAACAAAATAAACAAGAAACCTCCCAAACAAACCCTTAGAATGAAGGAGAAAAGTATTTGGGGGGAAAATGCTTCCGGGGGACGAGGAACAGCAGTGATACCTGAACTGGGCAAGGGTCCTGATAGTAAGTCTTATGGAACAGGGTTCTCAGTAGAAGGCCTGATAGACAATGAAAAGTGGGACAGTAGTCACATGTCAGGGCAATAAGTCCACTTATGCAGCAGATGAATTAAAAAAAATAGAGATTCATCATAAGAGACATTAGAAAATAACTGCTTCATGAGGCTCTATAAAGGAAAAGTTTTCCATAACTTATTTGCTATTCGTCTAACAATAGATATACCTGCTTGACTTTGAAAAACTATATATATAAAATTCAAATACTCTAGATTTACAAAAACTGATCAACATTTAGTTTTAGACACTAAAATAAATATAAGCAATATAAATATTAATGATTAATGACTTTAAACTCTTAAAGGTTATGTTTTGAAACAAACATGAAAACCATTAAGAAATTCCAAACACAGTGGAGGAAAAAATTATTTTAACTTATTTTTAGCAGCAAGACTGTTTGGATTTCAACTAAGATCAAAACTTATTTTCTTATCTGAGATTTAATGACCAGATTCTGTTAATTAAGCAGTGTTAAATACTTACATTAGATTAAAACTACTTGGGCTATATTTTCCTATATTTTTTTCTTTAAAAAAAGAAAAAGTTGACTTTTTAAAAC